AGGGCAAAGTCCCAGGGACTCTCGCTGAGTCCAGGGCAGCAGCACACAATAGGAGTCTTGGGCCCGGCCCTGCCCCAAGTGGGCAGCCCACCACAGGGCGGGGCCAATTCAGACCGAACCAGACAAGCACGTCCAGGGCACAGTGGCGACTGGACAGTGTCACCATGACCTGGTCTGTCAGTCACCTTCCACTTGAAAGCCTAGTCTGGACAGGCTTCCTGCCCAAAGGGGATCAGGTGATCAGGGATGTCCACCTGGAAGATGTCCTTCCCAGCCCTCCCCGGGACAGGATGCGGCAGCCACCGGGAGTTAGCAAGCACAGTCATTACTTCAGTTGCAGATCGAGTAGCAGGGCTTGATTCTCCAGCTCTTCCACCTCGTCAGGACCTAGGTTTTCTGGGCACAGCAAAGTGACCCCAATGTCCACGAGATCTGTGTGCAAAGAAAGGACACAGAAGGAGAACAAGGTGATTCAAAGTCACGCCTACTAGAGAGTAAGATCACATTACGGAAGGGAACCTTGGTGAACTGGATCCTCTGTCTGAGCCTTTCAGCGGGCTCACCTCGGCCAAGGGAATTCAGGGCAATGCCAAGCGAGGGAGGGAGAAAAATGAAAGGGAGAGGCCTGGTGCTCCAGGAACCCACCAGGACATGGGCAGTTCTCAGTCTGCCCACTGCAGGCTGCAGGGTCAGTCCAGGAGGGCCCCGGCGGGGAGCCTGTGGATATCAGGTCCCCAAGTGATTCACCAGCAGAGAGGTGTTGCTGTGGGGCCTCACTTCTGGGGAGTCAGGGGACTTGCTCAGGCCCTGCTGCAGGCAGTGGGGATGGGGAACCCAGGCTGGGTGCTGTGGTGCCTCTCATGTTCTCTGCCGGGCACACACACACACACACACACACACACACACACACACACACACATATGTACATGCACAGAGACAAGTGCCACATGCAGACCTGGATCTGGGCGGGGCTCATCCTCAGCCTCTGCTCCAGGAGCTCCCATGAGACCGCGTCTTCCCAGTCTGCTGCCTGATGTGGATGGTCAGGGTACAGTGCCAGGTCCGCATAGCACAGGCCACAGACCACGTTTCCAGGTTCTTGACATCATTTGAGAAGAAACCTGGATAAGTCTTTCAGAAGGACAGACAACTGAACTTCATCTCCCAGGGCTCCCAGGGCCTCACGTGGCTGTGGAAACACAGATCCACAAGGGCCAGCAGCCTGACACAGCGGCCTGCAAACTCACAGCCCTGGGCCGGACATCAGCCCCACGTGTCTGAGCATCCTCCAAGCCTGCTGACACAGAGGGGAGGGTCACAGAGGGCTGACTCCTTCCACCCATCTCCACACTGTCTGTTGACAGGGGTTGGCGAGCCAGAGGACCCGTCCATCACATGCAGTCTGTGGGGAGGTCAGGAAGGAGGGCGGGACAGCGGGAGAGAGGCATGAGATGAGTTTGAAGAAAGAGGGAGTTGAAACCCTGGGAGCACTCAGGAGGGAGGGTGGGTCCCCTGGCTTCACAGCCCAGTGGCTGGGCTCTGGTCCTCTCCCAGCACAGACAGGGACAGTCCTGCGCTTGGTTTCCCCCAACACTGGGCCCCACCCCACCCCTCAGCTCCCTGGCCCCATCACTGCCCATGCTCTGCAGATCCCCCCATCTTAGACCAGGGCTGCTGAGTGCAGATCTGTGCTAACCAATCTGGCCTCGACCCTGGGGCTGCCCTGGACCTCAGACGCCCTGCCAGGTATCTTTCCCGGGTGTCTTCACCTTTGGGAGCCACCTTCCTCCCATCCCTTCTCACACCATGGCCTCCACTGTCAGCAGATGCCCTGGTCCCTGCCCAGAGCCTAGAGTAGAACAGAGAGCAGAAACTACTGGGACGGTCATGTCCTTGCCAGGGCCTGGGATGGCACCATGCAAGGATCACAGAATTCAAACCTCAAATAACCCGCTAGGTTACTGTCACCTCATTTGACCACTGAGGAGGAACCGAGGGATAGAGAGATAGCCCATGACTGCAAGGGACCTGACCACTCGCCCCTCCATTCTCACTTATTTCCTTGTACCTGGTTAGGGTTCCCTGTTTATTCGAGGGGGGTGGAGGCAGAGGAGCAGAGCCATGGGCCTGAACATCAACAGCATCTCAGCACCTAGCAGGGAGCCTCCGTTTCCATGTTTCTGTGATGATGGGGACAAAGTCCCAGAGGCACCCAGCTCAGGGCCTTCCGGGCCTTTCCTTCCCCGAACACAGCAAAGCCACAGTTCTCACAGCCCCACAAGGCCCCACCTGATCTGGCTCCTACCCTAGTGGCCTGCTCTCCTCACCCCTGGATTCACCCCCAGTAGCTACACAGGCCGTCCTTTCATCCTTAGAACAATCCAGTGTGTTCTTACTTTAGAGCCTTTGTAGGGTGTGAGGAGTAACATCGCGTCCCCTCAGAGTCAGGTGCTGGAGTCTCAACCCCAAGTACCTCGGCGTGACCTTACAGACAAAGGAAAGGTCTTCTCAGAGCTGACGGTGGTCAAGTGAGCTCATGCAGATGGAACCTCCTCTAACAGGACGGCTGTCTCCATACAAAGGACACATTTAGAGACAGACAGACACAGAGGAGAACTCCAGGTGAAGAGGAAGGTGGAGCTCTCCAAGCCCAGACACGGCCACCATGGCCAGCAAAGCCCCCGAAGTGAGGGGGGAGAAATGGGACAGACCCTCCACCTCCATCATGAGAACCAGCATCAGTCAACACCTTGACCTCAGTTGCTGGCCTCCTGAACCAACACGGTTCGTAGTTTGAGCCACCCAGCCTGTGTGACCCTGACACAAAACCCTTTCTCCAAAGAAGACCCTTTCTTCAAAGACGACACAGATGGCCAACAGGCACATGAAAAGAAGCTCAACACTCCTAATTAATATTCAAATACAAATCAACACTCCAATGAAATATCACCTTACACTGATCAGAATGGCCATCATCATAAAAACCTATGAAGAATAAATGCTGGAGAGGGTGCAGAGAAAAGGGAACCTTTGTACACTGTTGGTGAACAGTGTAAATTGGTACAGTCAATAGGGAGAACCGTATGGAGGATCCTTAAACCACTACAAACAGAACTACCAGATGATCCAACAATCCCACTCCTAAATATATACCTGGAAAAGATAGAAACTCTAATATGAAAATATACATGCACCCCAATGTTCATTGCAACACTATTTACAGCAGACAAGATATGGAGGAACCCAAATGTCCATCAGTGGATGATTAGATAAAGAAGAAAGAAGATGTGGTTTGTGCACACACACACACACACACACACACACACACACACACACACACACACACACAGGAATCCTTCTCAGCCATGGAAAATAATGAAGTGATGCCATCTGTAGCAACATAAATGGACCTAGAGATTATCATATTAAGAGAAGTCAGGCAGAAAGAGAAAGACAAATATTGTATGGTATCACTTATATGTGGAATCTAAAAAGATGCTACAAAAGAAATTATTTACAAAGCAGAAACAGACTCAGAGAACAAATTTATGGTTACCAAAGAGGAAAAGCAGGGGGAGGGATAAATTAGGAGTTTGAGATTAACAGATACACAAGACTATGTATAAAATGGTACTACTGTGGTGCTGGGGAAGACTCTTGAAAGTACCCCGGACAGCAAGGAGGTCAAGCCAGCCCATCCTAAAGGAAATCAACTGTGAATATGCACTGGAAGGACTGATGCTAAAGCTGGTCACCTGATGGGAAAAACCGACTCGCTTGGGCTCTGTCCTCTCCGCCCCTGAGTCCCTGCTCCTCACACCAGGTCCCCAGTCTCTCAGAGACCAGGGTGTCAGGAAGTCAGGACAGGTCTAGTGTGTTCTTCTCACCCCAGGGGCTTCCAGGGCTGACGACAGAGGCGGGAATCTGTGGGTCTCTTCATTCTTGCTCAAGGACCTCATCTTGTCTCTGGGTAGGTCTTTGGATTCTCTCCTCTCCCCTACGAAGCCCCCAGCCCTTAAACCAGGACTCCAGTCACCCTGAGAACCAGATGTCAGGAAGTCTGCTCCCTATATCAGGACCCCAGTCTGAACCCCGTATGTTAGGAAGTCAGCTGCCTACACCAGGTCCCCAGTTTGAGATTGGATGTCAGGAAGTCAGCCCCCTATACCAGGTCCCTAGTCTCTCTGAGACCTGGATGTCAGGAAATGCAGCATATGTTCATCCACCCTATGTCCTCCCAGAGCCCACTCTGCTCTGGGGTTCAGGGTCCCCTCAGTCCTCCCTCAGCATCCTCACCTTGACCCTCCAAAGAACTAAGATCTTCCCCTCTGCCCAGTTGAGGCCCTGCCCCTTCTGACAGTTGCCTAAAGTATCTGAGACACAGATGCGGAAGTCAGAACAGGCTGCCAAGTGCTCATCCCACCAGCAGGGTGGCTCAGGGCTGACAGCAGGGGTAGGCATCTGTGGGGTTCCTTATAATCTCCCTCAGGGACCTCATCTTGAGCCCTGGCAGATCCAGGGAGGCCCCCTATGTTGACCAGAGGTGGGACCCTCACATCAAGGCTCAGGGAGCACAGAGGGTGGATGAGCACATGCTACATTACCTGGCATCCAGGTCTCAGAGAAACTGGGGACCTGGGAGAAGGGGGCGTGTCCTCAAGTGAGCAGAGGGAAGAAGCCCAGCTCCTGCGGAGTTTCAATTTGGGGACTCTGAGGGAGGACTGAGGGGACCCTGACCCCAATCAAAAGAGACCTCAGAGAAGCCTGTAGCTGCTGTTGGTCCTTGGTGGTCGTGGGGTAGGATGAGCCCAATGTGCGTGGTCTCACTCTCTGACATCCGGGTCTCAGACTGGGTACCTTGGATATGGGGTAGGGCCTCAGGTGGTCCAATTCCCAGGTCTGGCGGGGTGACTGAGGCTCCAGTCCTGAGGTCAGAGGGCAGAGGTGGTCCAGGCAGTCCCAGGAGTCAAGGTGAGGAGGGTGCCCTGAGTGTGCACCAGGAACTCCCCATCCCAGAGCAGAGGGGACCCCACAAGGGCCTAATCCCCCACCTTGTCAGCCCTGGAAATGTCAGACTGTGCTGACTGCACCATGGGGAGACACCTCACTTCCTCCTTCAGGTAGCCAGTGGACTGGCTGCCCTGGAGGCTTGCCCCTGTGAGGTCTGAGAGCACCCCTCAAAAGGAGACCTGTAAGTGGCCTGTGTGAGACCGCCCAGGGTGTGGTTCTCAGCTGAGGCCAGTCACAGCCCCTCTCTCCCCTAGCCTGGCCCGTGATCCCCATCTATTCTCCTGCCTCACTCCTGTCTGTGGTTTGATCCCAGGCATCGTGCTCGTGGTCGAGATGAGTGAGCTGAGCAAGCCCGAGGAAGACTTTCAGGACCCTGGCGAGGCCCAGTGCCCAGTGAATTGTGCAGCTCTTGGGGGCTGAGGCAGAGGTGGCTGCATCCGCCTCAGCCTCCTCCCTCACAGTGTCCTCCGTAGCCACTGGGGAGTTCTTGCCCCCGGAGGCTCTGAAGGAGATGAAAGCTAACCTGATAAAGTTCCTGCACTTCAAGTATCTAGCTAAGGAGCTGACCTCCCAGGTGGAAATACTGAAGAAGGTCCTCAGGGATAACCAGGAGCACTTCCCGGTGGTCTTCAGCCAAGCCTCGCATTGCCTGGAGCTGGTCTGTGGTGTGGAGGTGAAGGAAGTGGACCCCAGGGAGCACATCTACATCATGGTCCCCAACCTGGGCCTCACCTGTGATGTGATGCTGAGCAGTGGGCAGAGCATGCCCAAGGCCGGCCTCCTGGTGCTGATCCTCAGCCTGATCATGCAGAATGGAGACCGCGCCCCTGAGGAGAAGGTCTGGGGAGCACTCAGCAGATTGGGTGTGTGTGTCGGGAGTGTGCACTGTGTCTTTGGGGAGCCCAGGACACTTCTGACACACGTGTGGGTGCAGGAGGGGTACTTGGAGTACCGGCAGGTGCCTTACAGCTACCCTGCTCGCTATGAGTTCCTGTGGGGTCCCCGGGCCTATACGGAGACCAGCAAGCGGGAAGTCATGGCATTTCTGCTCAGGATCAAAGAAAGGGCTTCGAGGGCCTTCCCACCCCTGTCTGCAGAGGCTGCAAGGGAGGAGGATGAGGCTACCTGAGCCAGAGCAGGATCCAGGTGATCCTTCCCTCTGTGATTGAAGACGGAGCAGTCAGCCTTCTCAGAAGTGAGGCCCTGGGGCACTTTGGGGAACCAGTGTATAGCATCTTTGGGTTCCTGTTCTCTATAATGACTTGGAGATTCACCTGTTTTCCTTAGAAAAAATTCAAACTTTGCTTGTTTTCATAGAAGACTAAATAAACTTCAGTGTCTTAGCTTCACGAATGATGCTGATCACAGTGCGTTTGTGCTTATCCATTTCATGAACAAGAGTTTTGCTGTTTTGTAAAAGATATTGGAAACTCTTCCATTGTGTTTTGTGGTCCTGAACAGAATGCAATGGAATTGGAATTAGAACTGTTTTGGAAAAGTGAGCTTACTTAGCAGTAACATTGATGGGGGATGAACTAGATGATAAAAACAATTGTAGAGAATTCATGCTTCTGCCCTTCTTGTGTGTCATTTTCAAAAACTAAATTATTTCTTGTGCATTTGGGTTTGCCTGGGTTATTTAAGGAAGTAGCAGATAATTAATTGAGCCCCCTGCTCACTGGCTCGTGTATTCCAAAGACCTTTACGGAGCCTCTGCTCTGTGAAAGGCTGGGTTTGTAGTGGGGACACTAGGAGAAGCAGGACACCCCTGCACCTAGAGCGATGCTCTAGTAGCCCTAGTCACACAAAGAAGGTGGAGAGAAGTCCCCTAGTCACACTAAACAAGGCAGCATGGGCCAGGGCGGTGAGGCTCCAGGAGGAGCCCTGGAATGTCAGTGTCTGAGCCAGAGTGTTCTGGGGCTTTGGGAAGCTGGGTTCCTTCTGTGGGAGGTCATCGTGATGAGGCTGCATGATGGCATCCCTCAGACCTGCCGACAGTGTATCTTGGGGGTGACAGGAAAGTCTGAAATGAATCATTGGTGTGAGGTGTCCTTTTGCATCTTGGATAAAACACAGAGAGATCTCTTGCTGGGGTGGAAAGGAAGGGGTCCTGACAGTTGTTGCATTGCTGTTGACCACAGGGGCAAAGGAGGTGTTTTCTACCACTGCCCCACCATCTGCTCAGAATCCTGGAGAAAGGTGAATGTTGCTTTGAAGTATGGCCAAGTATTCCCTGGGTTGGCCCTCTTCTCTCTGTCCTGGGAAAGCTGATTACCAATATATTGAAATGAGCACTGACTTGGTCATCTGGACTTTATTTTGGCCACTTGTGAGCATGGTCTAGATTTCAGAGGGATGAAATGAGTGAATGTGGGGAAATCCTGCTGGGTGACTGGATCCTGGGAACTTTGATTCCCAGCCAGGAAAGACACTGTTTCCCACCCCCTCAAACACACACTAACAGCCAAATTGAATAATATAACCTCTAGGAGGAAAACACACAGAGCCGCAATTTTGACTGGTTTTCTATTCCGTTTCCTATTGAGCTGGCAATCCTATGAGGTGTCTTGAAAACAAAGCTATTTCCAGAGGAGAGAGGGACAGAGTCTGAGATCCGAATAACACAAGAAATAAGTGCTAGCCAGGAAAGATGCAACATCCACCAGCGTCCCCGGGTTCATGCAAGTTCAGAAGTGTGGAGATAGCAGAGACTCACAGGCTAAGGCTGTGCCTGGCATCAAATGACAGGAGTGAGTTCTGGGCCTAAGGAGGTGGTGAGGGCACTGCAGTGGGGTGTGCGTGTGTGTGCAAGGGGCTGAAGGGGCAGCTCTCCATGCTGAGTGCCAGAGAACAATGGGAACAGGAGATGTGATTCTGGCCACACATGTGGTCACTGCCACATAGTCAATGGACACTTGGAAAAGGTGGAGAATTTCAAGACCCATGTGACCTGCTCAGACTCTCTTCCCCAAAACATAGGAGATTTTGTCTTTTTTTTTGAGATTTTGTCATTATAAATTCTGACTGCTGCTCTTTGTTGAGCATCTGTTAGGCAGTGTGGAATTGGAGAGATGTTAGGTGCTCCACCACCTCTTGTCTTCCTCTCTCCCTGCACACATGGGGACATGAGCCTGCCAGGCCTCTTCACTTAGGAAGGGTGATGTGATGACCCGTGATCAGTGAACTTTGAGAAGAAGCATTTTTGTCATGACCATTTGTTTTGAAGGGACACAGGCACCTGGGAGTTAATCCTCAAATCAGGACAACACTAAGACACAGACCACTCCGAGTGAGGTTTTTCTTCCAGAGACTAAAGTCCTCTGACCCTTGAGAGAGGCTGCCCACAGGGAGCTGGCTACAGGAATTCCACGCACCCCCAACCCACAGCGTGCCCCCACCCCCGCTGAGCTGCACTGTGAGTCCCCTCGGGGTTCTGCTCGGTCTCCATCAGAAGGACAGCAACCAGCTGTCAAAGGTCCCTGTTGGAGTTGGGAGCATCCTTCACATCCTTCTCATGGGCCCCAGCCACAAGCCACACCCCTCCCCCGACACACCCCTGCTGCCCACAGTGCCCCCACTCCCTCAGAACCTGGCCTTGGGTTTTGTCCTACCTGCCCCCCCACTGAGAGTGGCTTAGGCCCTGATCCTGATGACCTCATGTGTGTATCTTTATCTGGAAGTCCCAGAGCAGCGTCCCCTTCCACGGTGCTAAAGGTGGAGCTGGCAGGACTTGACTCTCCTTGTGGACGCTCAGTAGTAATCATCGCCACGGATGCATGGGGCACATCTCTATGATCCTGAGGTGTATCAGACCATTCCCTGTGGAATCCCACGTGCTGGAGAAAACTCAGGGTCTTCTAAATGTGACTGTAAGGTCATGGCTTTCGAGGTTGAGTATGAGAGGCAGAGGGGTGTCTGGTCAGCCACCTGCAGAGCCAACTAGGAGCCAGTCGGACTGTTTGAACAGAGGACAAGCTCTAGCAGATGGCAGGGGTGGTACCCAGGATGCCCTCCTAGGTGCCAGAGGCTCCAGACTCAAACGAGGATTTGGAAAGGAACCAGGCAGGAGAGGACACTGTGGTCCCAGGAGTGCAGGCTGCAAAGAGAGTCGGCTGCCCAAGAGAGGTGGAAGCAGCAAGCCCCTGGAGATCCCATCTGACCTGCCCAGGGCTGGTCAGGAGAGGGAGTGGGGAGGAGATGCTGCTGCAGGTGAGCTGCCGCCCTGGCCTCCATGAGATCATCTGTGCTCTGAGGCCAAGGCCGGGACCACAGCCCCCCGGGGGGGGAGGGCACTCCAGGATGGACATGTGACAGCCATCATAACAGGTACTCCTCATGCCCCTTATTGGATATGACTGTTAGGTGTGGGTGGGATCTTGCTCTGGGTACCTAAGAACCTCAGGCCTTTGGCTGCTAGGAGGCCCAAACTGCCCCCTGCCCCCACTGACTTATCTGGAGGTCATTTTCAGGATCCAGCATCTTCAGCAGCCGCCTCTCTGTGAAAACACACCACACTGTTCCCAAGCTGATCTTGCCTAGGGCATCACTGATGGGACAGGCAACTCCCCGGGCTTAAGGATTCTCAGTGAATGTTCTGCTCCTCTGAGAAGTCCCTGTGTTTCCTCATGGCTTCCCTGGAGGCTCAGTGTTAAATAGTCAACTGCAGTGTGGGAGACACAGGTTCGATCCCTGGGTGAGAAGATACTCTGGAGGAGGAAATGGCATCCCACTCTGGTATTCTTGCCTGGGAAATCCCATGGACCGGAGCCCAAGGGCGTGGGTGGGCTACAGTCTGTGGGGTCACAAAGAGTCGAACATACTGAGCGACTAAGCACGTACACACATATGCACAGCTTAAGTTTTGCTCTGGACCCTTGTTTCTTTGTCAAGACACTGACCCCTGCCTGGCACTTGTCAGACATCTGTGGCAAATAACACTGGCAGACGTCTTAAAGTGGTTTTTGAGCAATACAGGGTTCTAGGTCTACACCTGGCCTCGATTGGTGGCTCTTGTCATATCCAGGGAAAACATCTATGAGTTTGGATAAGGGCAGTGTTTGTGGGGCTTGAGAAAAATTGGATCCAGAGATGTTTCTGTGGTGGAAGAGGCCTGGTTAGTTTATTATATGAGACTGAAGGTTAAGGGAGAGGAAAAGCTGAAGATAATTTAGGAAGGGTTGTTTCACACCTACAAGTTCCGTGTGCTTGTGCTTGGTTTCCTTTCTATTTCCTTTTTTAACATACTCAGCATGTTTTGCCGTAAGTTTCCTTGTGTCTTTTATTTTGAAACTGTCAATAGATTTTATTTTGACCTTTTCCTTTGTAATCCTTTAAGATTTGAATAATATTTGTGAAAATAGTGGAATTCTCATATGCCCTCTCCCAGCTTCCCCTATTCCTAATATCTTACATTAATATGATACATTTATTACAATTAATGAGGAAGTATTGATGCATTATTTATTGTCAACTGAAGCCCACACTTTACTCAGATTTCTATAGGTTTTACCCGCTCCAGGATCCTGGCCAGGAAATCACCCTAACATTTAGTTGTAATGTCTCCTTGGGTTCCTCTTAGCTTTCACAGTTCTGTGTTTTGGATGATCTTGACAGTTTTGAGGAGTACTCAGTAGATGTTTTGAACAATGTCCCTTGATTGGGAGATTTGTCTGATATTTTACTCATGACTAGTCTGGGATTACGAGTTTGGGGGAGGAATATTACAGATGTAAAATCCCATTCTCATCACAGCATAGCAAGTGTGTATTCTATTAGTACAATTCATCATTGGTGATGCTCTCATTGATCATGTGGCTGAGGTAGTGCTTGTCAGGTGTCTATGTGATAAAGTGATTGTTTTATGTCCCCTTTCCATCTGTCCTCTTTGGAAGAAAGTCACGATGTATGGTCCATGGCTTCAGGGGTAGGGAGTTAGACTCCACTTTCTAGAAGTGGGAGTGTCTGCATAAACTGGAATTTTTCTCTGTGGGAGAGTTGTCTATCCTTGTTTGTGGAATTAAGAAATCATTAATTTTTCTCAGTATGGACTCATGGTATTTATACTGCACTTTGGGTTAAAATCCAATACAACTTTATATACTTTTATTTTCAAATTGTTCTCAGATTGGC